TTCTTCATCAGATGAACTACTACAATAATTTTGTAATTTTTCTCCAAGTAAACGATCATCTAAACTCACCATGTTTTTCAGTATAATTGATGATTCTCAACGAACATAAATAAATATATTTGTTTTATCATTGGTTAATTTCAATAGCAAATCATATTTAATTTGTCAAAATAATAAACAATAGAAAAGAGTGGTCATTGTCCATTTCGATTGATTCTTTTTTTTTTAATTTTATTTATTACAGATTGAATAGAAAAAAAAAAGGGAAATGACGACACGTCGTGGAATATTTTTCAATTCAAAATCACGTTCAATCGATTCAAATATTATGATCGATAATAAAAATCAATCACCACCAAAAACTGAATTATCAAATAATATAACAAATGATGATCAAAGTAGTAATAGTAGTAGTAATAATAGTCAAAGTTCACCATCAAAATTAACAACAATATCAAGTGGAATAGTTAAAAAAAAATTAATATTAAAAAATACAAAACGAACTTTAACAAAAACAATTTATTCAGGACCAAGAAAAATTTTTAGTACAAGTTATAAAGTTTGTTTTGTTATTTTAATAATAAATATATTTTTCATTATTGAAAATTTGTCTTTTGGTTTTAGGCAAATCGAGCACAATTAAATCATAAAGCATTTTTTAGTAGTGAAATAAATGAATATGATTTAGATAATAATAATCAAGAAATATCAACTAATATATGTTCATCACAATCAATTGTTGAACAACGTACAATATCAAAAACTTCATTAGTTGTTAAATCAAAAAGTACAGATAATATTCATACAACAACAACAATTATTGAAAATGGTAAAACAAAACTTATTTGTCCAAGAGATCAAAAAAAAGTAAATTTATACAATATTATTATTATCGAATTAAATCTTTTTTTTTTTTATAAAGATGTATACAATTGTACCAAATATTCGACAACCAACTACATGTGAAGAACTTGGTGAAACTCAAAGTTATATTGATGATATGGAATATCTTTTAGCAGGATTTCAAAGTGATAAATTACTTGCTAGTCGTTGTCTTAGGTATCTTTGTTTATATAAAGAAAATAAAAGTATTCATATTAACACTTTCGCCGCGATGTGCCTCAACGGTATAGGTCACACTATAGGATACAGTAAAAGGTCATTGATCATAGAGAAAAATGTTCATAGTCATAAGAGCAACATTGATGAAAGTTGTTTTTTTTAATTATTACAATCGTCACAAATAAAAGAAATGAAATCTCTTATAAATTACGAAAAAAAAACAATGTTTATTCTGCTAATTGAAACCCACCCTAAGCAAGTGTTCAGGCGTACTACAACTGACGAGGGGACCGTTCCAATTGATTCACGTCGATTTTGCTCATATGGAGAAGTCAGTATGCTAAGAAAAAGCCTAAGAGGATTTGCGCCCATGGTGCTTCTTTCGAAGGTTATAACCATTTTACTGATTTTTTGGCCTATGGCAAGGTATTTACAAAAAATTCGAATGATGAAATTCTGACTTGTAATTTTGCCCATATGTAGTTCTCATGGTCCTTAATGTATGCTAAAAGTTTCAGCAAAAATAAATGTCCCATTGTCGACATAATGAATGACCAAGAAAGCTCGATTTTTCTGAGTCCTCTATAAAATGCAGACACTTATGGCAAATTCATTATCTCGGCAATGGGACATTTATTTTTGCTGAAACTTTTAGCATACATTAAGAACCATGAGAGCTAAATATGGGCAAAATCGACGTGAATCAATTGGAACGGTTCCCTCGTCAGTTGTAGTACGCCTGAACACTTGCTTATAGATATCCGACTATACTTGGAACCGGACCGACCGCACTTTTAAAACCGATGTAGACCGGTTTTTTTATTAATTTTCATGGCTTCAAAGATCAACAGACATGAGCGTAAACATTTTTCATTGATAAATTTATAGTTACTCTAACTTTTGAACTCTCGCTTTCTCGTCCTATGGTGAGGATCTCAAATTACGCTGAATGGATTTATTATGGTCATGAAAAGTTAACAGTTCATCAGAGCCTAAATATAGTTTGAACTAAAGATTTTGCTGCTCAAGATTTCGAGCTCACTTTGTTATTGACAGTCAGAAACTCCCAATAGCTAACTGTTTCTTACTTCATGCTTTCATTATTTGACTATTAAAAAAGGTCTCCTGTTATTGTAAACATTATACCAATTACTAGTCTTCTGCAACTGTGAAGATCCGTCTAGCATTAAAAAAAACGATCTTTCTAGTTTATTTTGTGTTCCTGGTTTTCTGCCCGTTAAATCAAGAATTTCAACCGGCCGGTCCAGTCGAAAAAGACTTGACCGGCTTCAAGTATGCATCAGACACCGCTTGGGCTACCTACTTTTTTGTCCCTTTCCATGTGAATACAATTACTGAGTACTCTCGAAATTTTTATTAATTTATTTTTAGTGCTGTTAAATTTGCTGAATTATGTGTTAAACCATCATTTCGTATGCATTTACGAACTGAAAGTGCACTTGAACGTGTACTTGATTTACTAAAAGATGCACCTGAAGTACCAGTATGTGTTTCTTCTTTTTCTTTTTTTTTGTAATTTTGACAATTATTAAATTTTCTAATTTTTTTTTCAGTGTTTAAATATATGTACAGCTTTTATTTTATATGTTCTATCATCAGATACATTAACATCAGGAATAAATCTTAGTACAATACATTTAATGATTGAATTAGTAAATAAAAATCGATCAAAAAATTTAATAAATGATGATGATGAATATAAAAAAATGAAACAACGTATATTAACAATAATTAATCAATCATTACAAGATGATATTTTCTATGAACAACGATTTGATGTAAAAACAACAAAAAAATTTAAATAAAACCTTTCTGTTTTTTTTTGATTTTGTAGACATGTGATATTATACTTGAAACATTTGTTAATATATGTCGTAATAATATAAAAGAATGGTTAAAAAATGAAGCACGTACATTACATATTTTTGATTTAATAATTGATGCTAGTATGAAAAATTCGATTTTTTTTTTGTTTAAATTTCTTTTGTTTGTTTTTTTAAATTAAAGTTAATTCAATTGTACAAGATTTATCAAATAATGATTTTGAATGTTATTCATTATCAGAAATTTTAATACGTTATCGTAAAGTTTGTCGTTATATAAATATGTTAGAAGAATTTATTAATGATCATTCAGAACAAATATCAACAAATATTGATATTAATCGAATATATATTGTACAATATAATCAATATTTATTATTTCATTCATTATCAAAGTAAATTTATTTTCAATTTTTTTTTTTTTGTTCTAATAAATAAAACTTTTTTTGCTTTAGATTACTCGATCTTTCACTTGTTTGGTTTAAACAATATTCATCAACTAATGATCATAATAATAAAATAACTACAACATCAAATATAAAAACAGATAATACAAAATGTTCAGATACATATGATATATTTCGAGATGGATGTAAAACTATTATGTCAATATTTGCTAGTTTAACAAATGATTGTGGTTAGTAATTTTAGAAATTAATATTTACAAAAAATGAGTTTTTCTCATGTTCTTGAGAGAGCGAGACTTTCCAGCATGGGATTAAGAAATAATGAAAATATTCAATATTTTCACTGCTAAAAATCTACCCACGGAAAAATTCTTCCGAACAAAAAAAAAACGGCGGTTTTGTCTTGAAAAATTTTTCCATGGGTAACGGTTCGAACTTTTGTTTGACTATATAATGTACATAGTTTTGATTGACAAACAAAAAATGATTTTGCTAATTAGTTATGAGACTTTAGTTGTCAATCTATATGCTTTTAATTATAAAATAATTTTTCATCGATCTTTTTAGAATCTCATTGTGATCGTTTAACATCTGATGATCGTTTTTTTTCAAATTTATTTCGTCTTTTGGTTACTATTGAACAAAGTTCATTACCTAATGAAGATAAATTTGATTCAATTGCTTTGGTTTGTTATTATTATTTTTTTTTGATACTTTTATTATTTTCTTTTTTTTTTTACAGACACTTAATTTATTAATTAATTTAGTACAAAATACTAAAAATGTTTATAAACATTTAATGGAAGATAATATGCCTGGTGGAAGTTCAAAAAAAATCTATGAATATCTTGCTAATGTAAGTTTTCTTTTTTTTTGATTGAAATAGAAATAAAAATTGATGAATAATGAATGATTTGTTGTTGTTGTTTTTTTTAAGTTATTTTGTGAACAAGAATCTTTAGCAGCTAAAGCTGAATCTCATGAAGAAAATGATTGGATGATGGAAGATGCTGATAATGATTTAGATCAACGTTTAGGTATACAAAATCCAAAAAATAATAATAATGAAAATGAAGCAAATTTTAATCGTGCTCTACAAAAAGCAGCTGGTCATATGGAAAATACATTTGTTGCTGCATTTACTGGTATTATTCTAGGTGTTGTTCTATTACGTGATTGTACAACATATGCATCACAAATACGAGTATTAATGCCACAAAAAAAATTTGATACAATGGCATTTATTTTAAAGAAATTTACTGTTTTTATGCAAATGTCGGTATGTTGAATTTTTTTTTTTTTTTTAGTTAAAAGAATTTATTTATTGATGTTTTTTTTTGTTTAGCATGCCTTTACACCATCTGGCGTAAAAATTCTTCAAGAAATTATTTCTATGGTCTTGTCATTATGTGAATAATATGCAGATAAAAAAATTTCTTTTTTCCCATTGTTGTTCTGTTTGTATATATATATGTGTGTAGAGATTATACTTTCAAGTAGTGAACAGAACTCAATGTCTATTTGTATGTAGTTGTACTTTTTTTTTCTCTTGTGCTCTATACAAATATTAGTGTTCTTGATGATTGAATTTTATATATATATATACACATACACTAATGATATACATAATGGATGAAAATGAAAGATAGACAACAAAAGAAGAAAAAATAAAATTTTCATTTATGAATTACAAAGGTTTAGTTTTTTGATATGAAGATTGATGTTTGATAGGATCACGAGATGTTGAAGAAAATAATGATGATTCCATTTCATCCCATAAAGCAGCTTTCGTTGCATTACTAGAGTTTGAGTTACTTGGTGTTAATGACTGATTGTCAGTGAATAGTCTAAAAACCAAAATATAGTTATTGTTAATGTTTTTAATTGATTTGAATAATGCTCATATCAAACAGAAACGGGCCTCAACGATACGATGATTTATGTTGTAAAAAAACTTGACTCTTCTTACACAAAAACTGTATACATTAAACAGGCATGCTGAACTCAGAACAATTGCAACAAGGACATCTTTTGAGATAACGCGTCTTCAAAAAAGAGGAGTTTGGTCACTAATTTTGTAATTCTGCGTAATAATTTTGTAAATTTTTACCCTTTTGATTTTATAGATTTTTGAGTAGTACTTTCAGCTGTTAAATCTGAATCAAATGAATCATTTGATTGTAAATCTTCTAGATTTTTTTTATCAATTTTTGAATCAGATAATGATTTTTTTCTAGTTGATTTTAAATTTTTAGATGATTTTTGTTTCTTTTGTTTAATATTAATAATAATGATAAGAAGAGTTATTAATAAAACAATACCAATAATTCCAATAATAATAAATAAAAATTGTTTATTTTTTAAACCTGATTCTTCATTTGTCACATTCAATTTTAATGTTGTAGTTCTATTAAAAACTAAACGAGAAAAAAAAACAAAAGGTCGACTCAATGAAACTAACAGGTAGAGCATAATAAATGATCAACATTCTCTACAAACCTACGCAATTACATCACTCCTATTTATGAGAAAATTGATGGAATTTTCTTTCTTTATCAAGTTTCGGAAGTGATTGTCTTAGAAAAATTATATGAATATCAATTATTCGCAAAGTAAATTTAGTTTAAAAGAGTCTCTTGTTTACTTAAAGTACAAGTTTTACGTCAATATGGCGAACTTTTTAGAAAGACAATGTCGACAATTTTTCTTGAGAATGAAATTATGCTCTATCTGTTTAATTTAATTTACATGATGTTGATAATTGTTGAGAGATTAATGATGATGAATGATCACTAGTTATAGTTTGTTTACTTGTTGTTGATGATATTATGGTTGTTATAGTAGGAGAAATAAAAGATATAATAGATTGATTATTAAGTCTTCCTGATTCACCTTCAATAAGATTTATATGAAAATAAAATCGATAGATTTTTTTTGTTAAGATTATTCACCAATGATTTCACAAAGAAATGGTTGTTTAGCTGTTGATAAAAGTGAAACAAGACATCCATCATTTGAATCATTCCATCGTTTAAATGCTTGAAAAGTTTTGTTGATTGTTTTATTTTGTTCCCATGCTGGTTCAGCTGGAAATATTATTGAATTCCAATGTTTTTCTTTACACCACATTGGATTAGTACTTGTATATGTATTAGAAGACTTATTTCCCCAACGATAGGTCCATTCTATATAAAAAGAAATCTATTTTATTATTATTTTAATGATAGATAAGATGCCGATAATTCGAGCAAAATTTTTTCGTCACAGTTAAATAGAGCTCATGAATTACATAAAAAACGTTGTTTTTGTAGTGAAACTTGTTTTGATAATCTCAATCTTTATCTGATTTGTTCGTTTGTTGAGAAAATCATTTTTTCAATAATGATAGCAAACAAAAAAAACCATAAAAACAGGCTTAGCTTCAAACTTTTCATGATTAGAACTTCTGTTTTTTAATATAACAATATTGATTTTTAGCACTCAACAAAAAAAAATTCATGGTAAAAATGTGAGATTTGTCAAAGGTTTCCGATGGTCAATATATGAGAAGATGTAGTTTTTCGTGCTTTTTCTATTAAAGTACTTGTGAGACAAAAAAACACGGAAAATCTATATGCATCGTTCTGCTTACTGAGTAGACCTGTCAGACAAAGACAAACTTTCTGTGAAAATTTTATCGAGTTTGAACATAGACCTTTCTACTTTCTTTGCTTTTTGAGTCTAGGATTTTTCTGAATTCTTAAACAGAAAAGTAGGCCATTGACCAAAGTTTATTGAATATTATTCAAATCGCAAAAAAAAATCGTTTTCATTTTTTCACCAAATATCTAAATATTGAATGGTTCTTCTAAGGTCGAAATACATGCATTAAGTTTTTTCTAAGTATATCATGAGTAAAACAAAAAAAAAACAATTGTATAAAATATTGAAGCTACCAGGACTGGATGTGTTTAAAACAATGTTTTTTTTTAGGCAACTTGCGAGCTCTATCCAACTATGACAAAAAGAATGTTACACAAATCTTAACTTATCGGCACCTTACATGTCTATTAAACTTACTTGCTGTTGAACTTTTTAATCCTAGACTACCAATAAATGCAATTGTACTAGATAATATTCCTTGACTATTATTTACTTCTATTTTCATTTGATTATCTGTTAATATTTGTTTAATATATTTTTGAATGAAATTATATTCATCTAGATTATTCATTTCAAGTAATCGACTTGTTTTATTTGTTGAATCGATCATTTGTAGACATGTTGTTTGAGCACTTAACCAATCCATGATTTGATGTTCGTAATAAATACAAAAAACAACTAAAAAATGAACAACGAAACGAAAAAAGAAATTCGCTAATTTTTCGAAATGAATATTCTTACTAAGATTAATCCATCCTGTAGGACATGGAATACAATGTTTTTCATATCCAGCCCAGAATTGATTCAATGGACACAAACAATGACCAAAATGGCATTGTAAATTTTGTTTTGAACATAAACTATCATCAATACAGGACTCATTGAAACACCAAATAACTATGAATAATAATATTATTATGCTCTGATAATTCAGATATTTTACCTGATATGATAAGAAAGAAATGGAAGACATGGAGATGATTAAATGAATAGTAGGGAATCATGTATTCCAATAGTATTTTGTTTTATTTTGTGGCGCGAAATATTATTATTATTATTTTTTTCTCAATAGAATACTATTGAGACAAGACAGTATGCAATACAGCTTGTTTTCTTATCACAATTATAATTGATCAATACAAAAATGTCATCATGTCTAGGACAAAATGTTCATTTTACTCAATCTATGCATTCAAACAGTAAAGTTTATCTTATTCAATAATGATTGGTATTTTACAGAATTATAAAATAAGTTAGTTGAAACGTTTTAACCATTTATTATCAATCGTAATGACGAAATTTCAAAAATGTTTATAAAAAAAAAATCGATTAGGATATATTTATTCGATCATTAATAGTGATATCTAATGAATAACAAAATCTTACCAAATCCACGAACATCGAACACTTTATATGGACTTCCTTTTAATTCTTACAGTTATATTGTTGGAAAAATATTGACTGAGATGATGAGGAGAATCGAAAAGATAGTCCATGACAATAATGTTCTTGGTACTAATCCACAATGAAAGCTATACACCTCAAAATTTTTTTAGTTACGTAGGACCAAACATGTATGGAACACACTCTAGAAAAGAACGGCATGTGAGCATTAGTGTTGTCCTTCATTGACGAGATATAAATGTCTGCAGAGAGAGGTGCAAGTTGAAAAATAAAAGATAATAACTGTTACATGAATTTATAATGAAATTCAGGACAGAAAATTGAATAAGTCTCTTCATAGTTATCAGAATCCGAATGATCAACTGAAATGAGAACATAACGACATTAATTAGAAAAAGATACTTTCTTTGAAAAGAACGAGTTCAAAGATAATAAAATCCATAAATATCTTATAAAAAATACGGTTCATTACGTCTTTATACATTTTTACTAAACTGATTCAATAGGAAATTCTAATCTCAGATTTTGTTTCTTCAACATAGACGACAATCTGTTCAAATGAACAACATTTTAAATAGACCAAGAAAAAACATCGATTTATATTTTAAAAAGAAAAATTAACGAAATAAAAATCTAAAACAAAAAATCTTTATCTTTCTTTTTTAATATATAGATGAACTTTTTCAAAAAAAAAAAAAAATTTCAAATATTTGACAAGTAAACAAAAAAGATTTATTTATCAATAAATCAATGTCATTGATTAGAATTAGAAGATGACAAATTGATTTCAATCAAATGAAAAATAACATTATTTCTAAAGTCCATTATCTTCATAAGTGTCATTTTGAGAGTGTGAGTGTGGATGTGACCTATGTGCTAAGAGAAAAGCTACATCCACACCCGCAGACAATCATTAATCTCACAGAACATAAATATACTTTATGAGAAGAAGAATAAAAGAGTCCGAAGAAAAAGTTATTTATTTACATACTAAGGTCATGGAAAGAAAATGACGATTGAACGAGTATAGTACTAGGAAGAAACTTTTTCTATATTTTTCTTTCTTTCGGTGCATAAAGTTACGCCATCATACCATAATATTCGTGAGTCATTTTCTGCTTGTAAAAGATAAGAGAAACAGAAACCAAAACAAATGTAAATTGTGAGTCATGTTTTGTCATTTAAATATCTGGCGGTTATAAATGGAGAAAACGAGTAATGATTTTAAATATGCATATATATCTTAATACTTTGGTCGAAACAATATATCAATTATATATTTTAATATAAAAATTACTTGTTTCAAAAAACGATGGCATTTAATGATGAAACTGCACAAACACTGCATCGACACGTTATTGTATGGCTGGACAAATACATTGGTGAGCCAGGTGATAACGAACCAATGAAAGAACGCTTCCGTCGTGTTACTAATCCAATACAAACTTTTGTAGACATTGATTCCACTATCGATTTCATTCGTCAGCAACAAGATGCCGAAAAGTGTGTCTTTCTTATCGTTTCAGGCAAATTAGGTCGTGAAATCGTTCCACAAATCTTCAATTTCGAATGTGTCGCTCAAATATTCATATTCTGTGGTAACATCATAAAGCATAGTAGCTGGAGTGAACCATACAGAAGCAAGTTACAGCTGTTTGATTCTGACGAACTGCTTCTCATTGAATTAACCAATCAAATTGCTAATCATTTAACAGAAGAAGCAAATAGACATAAACAGCAAGGCCAACCGAACTTGGCACGTGGTTTACTTGAATGGGCTGATCATCTATATAATGATGCAGATACGCTTCAACATGAAGGGTGCCGAAGAATTCGTGCAGATATCAGAAGGAAACTTCAACATCTTGGTGTCGATCATCATGGCGCAAATTGAAATCGATTCAATAGTTACTTGCTTAGTTCGTTATATTTTAAATAAAAACATGATCAATAAACTTCTTGCACAATGAAAAATATGTTTGCTTTTATCTCTGATACATTGTCAGCCAACTAAACAGGAAGAATGTATGAGAACTCAAGATAATAGTGAACTCTGTTGACAAATTACACAAATAGATAAATAAGGAAACTAACGAAAAGCAGCACAGCTGAGCAGAAGGTGTTCGAGATATTATGCGATTGAGAAGTTGTAAAAATCAGTAAGAATTTTTTTCGAATTATATGAATCATATTTCTTCAGTGTTTAATCTTAATCATCTATTTCAATTGACATCAATTTTTACTTTCGAACAGTTTTTCACATCACAAGCATCGACAATAGCGCCAAATAAACAAGGAAAAATTATTATTAATTTAGCTAGTGATATTATGATTGGTTAGAGGGTGCGGGTGTGGAGTGTGGATGTGGATATGAAATGTAATTTTGCGTCTACCGGCATCTGTACACACATTCAAACCCACGCACACACCCACAACAATAAGCAAAGCAAATCGCATTAAGTGGAATCTGTGTTTGAAAATGAAAGGAAAAAGAACAGGTGAATATCTGTATGTATATTACTAGAGCTACTCTCACTCTTCTTATCATACTTCATACACGATTACATTACTGCAGCGATGCGTTTTCTCCCTTTACTCTTGCTTCTTGTGCTCTTTTTTGCTGACACTCAAGCACTCGAAAACTGGAAGTTGGAGAAAGTGCATGCGGGTGAGTACTCTCTATAGGTAATAAAGAGCAATAAAGATTATACTTTTCTAGGCTACTGTCCGTTCCATGTCATGGTGTGCGATATCTATTGTCCTCCTGGTTCGGCTACTAAGATGTGTGCGAAAGACCCCTATTGCTGCACGCGAGACAGTCAATGTGCGTCGGATGAAAAATGCTGTCCACCGATCTGTGGATGTACTAATCGATGTACCAAAGCCCAAGAAAAGCCAGGCTTTCACAAGGAGCCATAGATAGTGCAACAGAATATTTTTCATCTTCGATGATTTGTTGCTTAACAATACATAAATGAAATTCTAATGACATGATTTGAATTGGGCTTCTAGAGTTGATACGTTGAGCAGACAGCTATACACAATAATTATTTGTTTCAAAGATCATCACAATCGTATGTATTCTCAAAGATCGAAGAGAAAAAAACGATATGACATCAATTCTGAAAGAGAATTATTAGTAACCGTTTTCAGTGTGAAAACGAGCTACTTTTTCGAATGTGTCATCTAGAAATGTTATTCGATTTGTTCAATCAAAATCCTCTCAAGAGTATAATCTAATGGCATTTCAAGAAGCATCGGCAGCAATTTTCTTAGAAAAGTTGCTTGGCTCGATTTGTTATCAGTAAATTATCTGCTATTTCATGACATTCACTTGATTGAAGGTTAAGTGAAGAGCCGATCCATAATATATATATTTGACCTTGGGGCGACAATGAATCATCCAAACTTCTATAGCAGGATTATAAGATGTGAGTGTGGCTCATTCCCATCCATACACACACCCCACACTATAATTGTCTACCATTGCCTGTTTTTGAACAATGTCAATCATTGCATATCATACACAAATGAGTATCGATGCGTGTAGTCCATTTGAAATGCATTTCGTTTTACAAATGTTTTTCCTTTGTTTGCCGTCGTTGTCCGTCTACTCCCTGTATTGTGTATTTTACTGTTGCCATGAACAGTGTTTCTCAAGAGAACATTTGATTGACAGAAATTTAAAAAAATCGAAGAAAACGCGGGAGAGAAAAGAAAAATAAGTAAAGCCTTTTTATGCTGCACAAGTAACAAACGGGGTAATTCGACAAACAAGCGACGCATTTTACATACACAATATCCAAGCAAGTTTGAAAATATTGTCATTGAAATTTTGTTTATTGCATCCTAGTGAGGAGCTTATTATAGTGACTTTTAAACAGTCTTCGAGTTTTCTAAACGTCATAAGTATAACGAACATATGACTAGAATATTAATTATAAAGAATCGACACAGAAATGAAATAAATATCCATGACGGAGTTCCGCTGATCTGATCGACTGATGATTTTTCCTCAGTCGACGGTCTACTGAGTTTACTTTCACGCATCCGTCACACAGAAAATTATAGATTTTATTGTACTTTGTCCTAGAATTTTCTCTGCATTTTACATAATCAGGTTTCTACATATGTACCCTCTGCTATTCATGATCTGTTTGCGATTTTCGATGTTGAGA